GGTAGTGTGAGTCCTCCAACTTTATTCTTCTTCTTCAGTAGTGCTTTACTTATTCGGGGAGAAGCTACCGAGAGTTTTTGAGCCTGGAAGTGGCATAATGAAATTGCTTTTGAAAAAATGTATCTGACATTGGTTGGTAGGAAAGCTTGGCAGGAAGAAAAATGAGAGGCAAGTAGTCTGGTTGTGAAGCTAGTGCATTAACTCAGGTATAAGCACAGTAGGATTGAGAATGGATGATCGATGGAGGTGAGACATTGCAAATAAAGTTGGCAGAACTTCTCTCAGGGGAGTTGGACATGCAGTAGAGTGCATTTGGCCATTTCCAGGCTGGGAGGAAGCACTACAGAGCCTCATTGCCATCTTAAAAGGCCACAGAGTTATAGGGGTAACACCTTGGAGCAGCTGATTCTTCTGTTTAACTCCGTGTCACTCACTGTCCCTCAGCAGAGAGAAGGATGCTGAGAGAATGGGAACCACAATAAGGAAGCTTTGATGAGGAGAGATGGTAGAGAAATGCCCAGAGTTTGGACAACAGGAGCAGCATGTGGACACAGGCTCCAGTAGGAAGAACTGCCAACAGGAGGTCAGAGGCAGGCTGTGGAGAGGGTGGCGCCTGGGCAGGGCAGAATTTTCCAAGAGTACATGTGCTTTCACCCAGCTGAATGGGGTGGTAAAAGAAGCCCTGACCCAGGAGTCCAAAGCCTGGTTGGAATCCCGATCTGCCATATAAACAAGCAGGGTGACCTTGGTAGGTCATCTAATCTCTCTAAGATAACAGCCCAGGGCCTGGCATGTGGCTGAGACTTAACAAATATGTGTAGAATAGTAAGGTCTTGGTGCTTCAGCTTGGTCATTTTTAAAAACACTGATAACAATCTCTGACCTGCCTACCTGCCCAGGCTGGGGTGAGGATCAGATGAAATGAGACAACAGACCAATCTAAGGGGAAACAGCATAAATAGCATGTTCTTCATGGGTTTGTGGCACTCTCCTGAGCCCCCTTTTTAGTAGTGGAGGGTTGTTTACACTTGTTTCTGCTAAAAGGCACCAGCCCATGTGTGCTCTCACTCTTGGGGAGGTAGAGAATAGTAGTAAGAAGACGCCATGGACCTTTTGGGTACTGGGTCATAAACTCTTTCAGGGCAAGACTGGGTCTTCATTTCTTTATCCCCAGTGTCCAGCACTGTATCCACATGAGTTGAACTGAACCCATGGGCACCATAGCTCAGAACTAGTCCTGACCCAAAGCCTAGTTCCAGTGGAGGGATGGGTGATCCTGTAAACTTACTTCCACTTAGAGATGGAGGGAACCAATGATGGCTAGTAGATTGGGTTGATTTTCCCTAACACTGACCTATAAATGATTTGTTTCACTGTCAGACTCAGGGATTCTCCTTGGCCCAACATTCAAGACCCTTCACAGTCTTGACTCCTGCCTGCTTTTCCATTTTTTTCTTTAGTGTAACCTGCTCCTCCTTGTTCCCTGGACACATCCTGCATGCCCCCCCACCACACCTCTCTCCTCATTCCTACTTTCCTTTTGTATCAAATGCCTTTTGATTCCCATAATCTCCACTTGTCCAAACTCTATCCATTTTCAAGGTCTGGCAGGTGTGTCCCTTCATCCATGAAGAGTTACCTAAACCCAGTACAGGAAGTACCTCTCCTTTCTCTCAATCTCTGCTGTCCTTTGTGTTGCTCTGCCATACTCACACTTTCCTCCCAGAATCATAATTATTAACATACTTGTTCTCTCCTTTTAGCCTATTAGTTCCTTAAGGCTAAGGAATGAATCATGCATATTTGTTTTTACACATGAGCAAACTGAAGCTCCTTCCCCTAGGATATGGCACAGTGTCTTATACAAAGTAGGTGCTTGATAAATATTTATTGTGATCATCCACCATTTTGTCATCTGATGTGATTTTCCTATGTGTTGTAAATCCTGCCTCTATGATGTTAATGAGGCAGGATTAGAAGCAGTTATGTTAATGAAGCAGGACTCAATCTATAAGATTATATTGTATCTTGAGTCAATCTGTTTTGAGATATAAAAGAGAGAAGGAGGCTGAGAGACACGGGGATCTCATACCACCAAGAAAGCAGCACCAGGAGCAGAGCGCATCCTTTGGACCCTGGGTCCTGCACCAAGAAGCTCCTAGACCAGGGGAAGATTGATGACAAGGACGTTCCCCCAGAGCCGACAGAGAGAGAAAGCCTTCCCCTAGAGCTGGCACCCTAAATTTGGACTTCTAGCCTCCTAAACTGTGAGGGAATAAATTTCTCTTTGTTAAAGCCATTCACTTACGGTATTTCTGTTATAGCAGCACTACATAACTAAGACATTTATTAAATGAATGACTATCCATCATCATCACCACCAATTGCAACAAACAATTATTTGCCAAAACATAAATGGTAACCCCACTACAGTTTGAGAACCTTCTTAATTTCAGGTAAAATAGTGACCACAGCAAATGTCAGAAGGAGCTCTTGTTCTTTGGAAATTGGATTTACTATATCCCAGGAGCAGACCAGAGAGCACTTAACACTGGTCTCTAAAACCCTGGGGCTGTAGGAATAGCAGGAACACTTTCTTTTATCTCCTTTCGTTATGTCCTATTTCTCCCTCTACCCCCACCCCCTGGCCTCTACCCCAAATCTCAAGCTGAGAGTGTCTGCTTAGTTTCTTTGAGGGAGAGTGACTAGATGTGGTTTCCCTCTAGCTGTCAGGAGCCCCACACCCAGCCTCAGAATGCAGGGAAGGTGTCTTTTTGTCATCTCTTCTCAGTGGGGTTTCCCACCAGCCTGCTAGAAAGAGGAGGTGGGTGGAAGAGGACTGGCCACCTGCAGCTGAATGAGTCCTTTGACCTTATCCCAGACAAGATGCTACATCCCCCAGCAAAGTCAGTGGGCACTCAGTTATCAAGCCTCATGTGCTAAGGCTGTTAAAATAAGCATTTTGTCACACAAAGCACTGTCCCCGACTAATGGTGCCCCTGCTGTGTTTTTCAGGCTGTGGTGGTGACTGACGGAGAACGCATACTGGGCTTGGGAGACCTGGGCTGCTACGGTATGGGCATCCCCGTGGGAAAGCTGGCCCTTTACACCGCGTGTGGGGGGGTGAACCCGCAGCAGTGCCTCCCTGTCCTGCTGGACGTCGGCACCAACAACAAGGTAACACACAGCCTAAGCCAGGAGCTCTCCAGAAGGGGCAGCTGGGATGAGGGAGGGGCGCTTACATGGGGCCTTGTTATAGTCCCTGGATGGTGCAAATGGTTAACCCACTGCTAACCAAAAGGTTGGAGGTTTGAGTCTACCCAGAGGTACCTCGAAAGAAAGGTCTGGCAATCTACTTCTGAAAAATCAGCCATTGAAAGCCCTATGGAGCACAGTTCTACTCTGACACACATAGAGCCACCATGAGTTGGAAGCAACCCCACAGTAACTGGTTTAAGAAGATATTTCTAGAAGTAGCAGAGCTGGGATTCTAATGTACACTTGTTCTCTCTCCACACCACACCTCTTGCCTGGATTTCTGTTGCTTTGTAAGTGAAGATATTTTCTTGACTTTTAGAATTTTTATTACTAAAGTAACTTTAAAACATTCAAATTTTTACAAGAAAAAGGAAATTAGATTGTGCTTCAATGCTACATTTGTGCTCCCTTCCAATATTTATCTATGCATACACATAAATGTAGCTGTTACCTAGTTGTAATCATAATGTGGCCATAATTTTGTTACCAATTTATTTCGATTAAAATTATTTTATGAACACTTTCTATTCATTTATTTAACAACGTTTATTGAGTATTTACTAGGTGACAGATACTCTGCTAGGTGTGAGGGAGATAAATTAGAGCCACGCCTGGGTAGCATAGTCTAGTTGTCAGTGTTTCAACATTATCACCTAATTTATCATTTTAATGGCTAATGTGTTATATCTACACAAGATGTCTGCTTCTCCCCCTGGGGCTTTAGGTCTCTGGAACCCCGTCTCTCTCCTGGGCCTGCTCTCTCCTGTCAAAGCAGCTCCTCCACAGGGCAGGACTGGAGAGTATCCCTTAGCTGAGAAGACAGAACACAGCCCAGACCTGGCCTGGCCACACCACGGGGGTGAGAGAAAGCAGCTCTCCCTGAGTCCAGTAAGAACAATACCAGCTGCCATTTATGGAGCCAGCAATGTGCCAAGCACAGTGATAGGCCTTTATATATTTTATCTCATTTAATTCTCACAACAGCTGTATGAGATCTTGTTCCCCCCGTTTTATAAATGAGAAAACTGAAGCTGAAGCTTGTTAAACTCCTTACCTCAGGTCTAAGTGTCAGAGCTGGGATTTGAACCCAAGTGTCTGACTCCATAGCTGCTTTGGTTCAACGTGACGCACTGCTCCAAGGGGGACAGGGGTTTGTGTTGGAGACTGTAATCAAGGCTGAGAAAGTGTGAGTTTCACACAATCAAGGTCCCATAGACACTCAATAAAAAGTCAGAGTGTGTTGATGCCTTTGTGGTGCAAACGGTTAATGCTCAGCTACTAAATGGAAGGTTCAAGTCCACACAGAGGTGCCTAAGAAGAAAGATCTGGCAATCTACTTCCAAAAAATGAGCCACTGAAAATCTGTACAGCACAATTCTACTCGGACACACATGGGGTCACCATGAGTCAGAATTGACTCAACAGCAACTGGCTTGGGTTTTATTGATGCTGTTTACACCATCTTCCCACTTCTGAGAAAGCTCAGCCCCCTCCAGACCTACTTCAAGAAATCCAGCTCACATAAATCCAGAGTTGTAAAGTGGCCAACATTAGGAAGATGGTGATTTATCTCTTTCCAAATAGATTCACCGTGTGATCTCACACACTACAATTAAAACAAATTAATCAGTTTGCAAGATCTGTTTGCCCAAAAGTCTTGGGGCACATCCATTGCTCATTGCAAGCTAGAGCTATAGAAGAGAGAGACTCGGCCTTGCAATTTTCATTTCACATGTCAGTGCAGAGAGGGTGCTGTTGTCAGGGTTTTTAGTGTCAGAATAACTAGACCATCTGTGTACATGTCTCTATAAAAACTCCTGAGGTAACAGGAGCTTTAATCAGAGTTGAAGAAAACACCCCTCCAGGTTTCCTGTTGAAGGAAAACATCTGCTGTCTATAGCTCTAAAACTCTGAGTCACTTTCACCTGCCAACACCAAGGAGGTTTGGAAAAATAAATATGTGGGGCAGTGATTCCATGAAGAAGAGACATCCATGATTAAGTTCCTGAACCAAGGGGGCAGGGGAAGGTATGTGGAGAGCAAGCATGCTCTCAGCCCTCTATCATGGCTGTGAGTGAATTGGTTTGTGCATTTTGTTTTATCCACGTGCAGCCAGACAGAGTCACAGACTGTCCAAGCTGATTGTTGATGTTGTATGACATCTAGTTGATTCTGACTCATAGTGACCCTATATGACACAGTAGAACTGCCCCATAGGGTTTCCTAGGCTGTAATCTTTATGGGAGCAGATCAACTGGTCTTTTCTCCTGCGGAGCGGCTGATGGGTTCTAACTGCTGACCTTTTGGTTAGCAGCAGAGTATTTAACCATTGCGTACCAGGGATCCTTCTGTCTGAGCTGGAAGGGACCTGAAATACTATCTAGTTCAACACCCTCATTTACACAGGAAAAGAGAGCCTCCAGAGGGGAAGTGGCTTTCCCAAGGATTGACTCAAGGCCCAGTGTTCTTCCCATTCTGTGATAATGGTTCTGTGGGGCAACCTCAAGAGCTTGTCCTTAACATGGCTCTCCTGAGCCTTAGAGGTCTTCTCCTGGCAGAAGCCTCGAGCCTCTATGAATTCACATCACAATGAGATGCTGTGGTGAAAGTTTTTGTGGACCCAATTAATGATGGGGGAGGAGTGTCATGTCTGCTTGGGGAGACAAACACGGAAATAGGTTATCAGCTGAGCCTGGTACACGTCCCCTGGGGGTGTTAATGGATTGCTGAGGGAACATGAGATCTGTCACAATGACGGAGCTGGGTATTGAAGGTTTACTTTCATCTTCTAAGATTATCATTACTTCAACTAATAAGTATTCAGCATTCTCTAAATGGTGCCTTCTGAAGCACTCACTTTCTGTACACGTGGGCTTGACTTACCCCTGGGCTTGATTGAGTTTCCAAAAAAATGAGTGTAGGTATTACATGCCACCTCAGATGGGGAAGTGCTCTGTGTCCACAGCTTGAATTCTATCCCATGACATCCCCAGACCCCCAGATGCTCTCTGAGTAAGATCTTGGTGTGCTTGTTGCTACACAAGATAAATATTTTTCCAGGCCAGAGAGTTCATCTGTCTCCAAGCTTAAATCCAATGTACAGTGATATGGCAAATGAAGAGGAGGAAACCATTTTGTTTTCCATGACATTTTGTCTCTAAGAAAAACCTTAGGAAGGCAGAGCTGGGCAAACAGCCAGAGAGGGTATATTCAGCTCTCTAACGCCCACAGCATAGGAAAAAGTTCTGGTTCACCTGCTTTGGATAAATGTCTTAGCCTAAAATTATAGTCATAGACTTATTTAGTTCCAAAGGGAACTTAGAAACTATGTAACAGTGGGAAAGATTTAGTCATTCAGGTAATATTTAAGTGCCAGGCACTCTGCTTGATAGGAGGGCTGGGAGGTGAATAAGCCTGGTCTCTACCCTGGAGATGATCTCAGTCTGTGGGAAGCCATGATTTCCCTACTGTTGCTCCTACCAATTTGCTGTGTGCCCTTGGGCCGCAAATTGAACCAAGTGATTTCTAAGAACTCCATAGTTCTGAATTCTGCATCTCCTTAGCCCAGTCCCATGACTCATGCAACTCACATCAATAAATGCTTCTTAGGGGCATAACATGTCAGCACTGTACAAATCACTGGGGAGACAAAGATGAATACAGAGCAAACCCTTTCCTGAAAGAGCTTGCATTATGAGATCATTATTTTCTCAATTTGACAGAGAAGAAAAATGAAGCAGAGAGAAGTTAAATACTTTGCCCAAAGTCTCAGAACTAGTAAAGTGACAGAGCCTGAATTCAAATCCTTGTTTGTCCAATTACAAAGCCCAAAGTCCTTTCTGATTCCAAAGCTGGGCCATACAGAAGGTACAGGCTCAGCGAGGTGCATCCTGACCATGGTCACCAGGTCAGGCCGTGCCCTTTCCTCTGTAGTACGCTGCCTCCCAACTTTAAGTTTCTTCTGCTCCTGCTGATACAGTTGCCAGATTTAGCAAATCAAAATATAGGATGCCCAGGTAAATTTGATTTCAGGTAAACTATGAGATGAGTCATTTTTTAGTATAAGTATGTCCCAGCCGCAGTTAAACTCTCCTGTGAGGGCCAGGCAGAGGTCAAGGAGCTAACCCTTGGCTCCCATGGTGCCTACAACATCAAGTGATGAGGTGGAGAGGGAACTGATGTGAAACCCAGTCAAAGCAAGGCTTTAATTTCAGCTTAGCCAGTTTCTGGCTGTGTGAGCTTGGGCAGCTTATTTAAACCTTTGAACACCAATGTTCTTATCTGTAAAACAGAGACGAGAATACTAAAGACTATTAGAAGGACAAATGAGTGAATTCCTTGAAAGCTCTATGCAAATAGAAGAAGTTATTTTTTAGCGTCAACTCCATGTAGAAACTTTCTTTCTGATTTTTTTGTGCATATTCTTAGTTTTTAAGTATTTAAGGCATACAACATTTTATTATAAAAGTAAAATACAAGGACTTTTTTAAAATATAAGGACTTTTTAAAGTTTTTTATAGTCATTCTTATATTTCAACAGTACCACATTATAGTTGATTTTTGGAAAATCTCAGGATTTTTCAGTACTGCTAGAGAATACGACTTGCCTCAAAAACAGCATAGGCAGTCCTGAGGAACTCACTGTGTGCTGCCTGATAGGCCTGGCAATTCAAATCATTGAGTTGGCATTAGAAATTATAACTCACCATAGGACAGTGGTTAAGAGTTCTGGCTGCTCACCTAAACACTGGCAGTTCGAATCCACCGGCCGCCCCTTGGAAACCCTATGGGGCAGTTCTACTCTGTCCTATAGGGTCGCTATGAGTTGGAATCAACTCAGTGGCAATGGATTGGATGGGATGGAACCTCTTAATCTCTGTAAGAATTGGGGGGAAAAAGTGAATATTTTCTGCAAAGGCCAAGGGCTATACTATTTTTATCACTTTCGTGTTTGCCTTTCCAGGGTGTGTGTGTGTCTGTTTCAGATATTGTAATTATGATATCTGTGCAATTTTATATCCTGCTTTTTTCACTTAAAGTCATCTCACAGTTTGTACAGGAGGCTGCACAGTCTGAAAAACCATCCACGTTAATGATTACCTGTCCATCAGGTTGTTATTCTGTCATTTACTCTATCACTCCTCCTTGGCTGGATGTTTGTTGCCTCCAGCTGGCTTTCAGATCGTCCCTTTGAAGGTGGCATGTGGAAGGGTAGGCACTCTCATCCTTTAGCCCCGCTTCCCTCCTATACACACACCCTACACACACAACCACTGGGGAAGAATCCTAAACAATTTCAAGGATATACAATCCAGGGGGGTGAGGAGAGTGAGAAAGGAAATTAGGGCCCACTTTCTTTCTAAATCTTGCCGTGTGGTACCTTTAAGAAAGTGCTAAACCCACATCTGACAGATTATGTGGACCCAAGTTGTTGGAGGAGAGGGTGTTGGGAAGGTAGATACTTCCTGTTCTTTTCTGTCTCCTCCCAGCCAACTCCTACAGTGATATCAAGGCAGAATGGACCTAGAGCCAAGTCTTTAAAAATAATAAGTCAATTCTTGTTGTGTAGAAGAGCCACCTAAACAGAATGGCGTGGTGGATAGGATCATGGACTCTGGAGCCAGAAACTAGATTTGAATCCTGGCTCTACCACTTACTAGCACATGGTATGGGGCAGGTTGCTTAACTTCTCTGTGTCTTGTTGCCTCATTTGTGAAATGGGGGAAAATAATAGAGTCTGCCTCAGCTCAGGTCCTCTGAGAAGCAGAGATTCATTGGAGGAAATGCCTGTGAAGGATAAAGGGGAGGGAGCAGAAGTAGTTGGAGTGGGTGGGTCTTTCAGACCATAATGCAGTTCTGACACCTATGGAAAGAGAGAAGGAGGAGGGAGGATTGAGTAGGAAGAGTTCTGACTGAACATTAGCCCTGGGAATGTCTGCCAGGCCAGTGGCACATCCCGAAGCAAAGATGGCCTAGAGGAGTCTCTGTTAGGTGGGAATGGCCTGCCCTAGCACTCCTGCCATGCTCAGTTATTGGCTGGGAGCAGCCCATGAAGGTGGCGTCTGAAGGCTGTTCACTAGCTACCCTCCCTTCAGCAGGTTCTCTTCAGGGAGTTCTGAGCCGCTCACCGGCATGGCTGCTGCAACTTCATACCAAAAAAAAAAAAAAAAAAACCCTTGCCGTGGAGTCGATTCCGACTCATAGTCTATAGGACAGAGTGGAACTGCTCTGTAGGGTTTCCAAGGAGCAGCTGCTGGTGGATTCAAACTGTCGAACTTCTGGTTAGCAGCCAGAACTCTTAACCACTACACCCCAGGGCTAAACACTTAGAACAGTACTTGGCACATAGGAAGCACTAGGAAAATGAAAGCTGCTACCATGATTTTATAGCATATGTTATAATTCGTGAAGCTTTTTCACATATTATTTCATTTAATCATCGCAGTCACCCAGCACAGCTGGTATTACATCCCCATTTGACAGATGAGAAGAAGGTCACACAGCTAGTGAGTGCTGGAGGTGAGACTTGACTCTAAGCCCCTTGAGGGCAGAGCCTGTGGCACTTTTATCATTGTCCTGCACCAGCAGCTCTTGTGGAATGAAAATAACACAAAACCTTGTCCTCAAGGAGCTCATATTGTAATGGTTAGACACAAAAATAGATAATTCCTTGAGACTCTAGCACATGGAATTACTCCATTTCCTAAACATAGCATGTACTTTTTCCGCCAACTCCTCAGACTTGAGTGCCCAGCTCACCTTCTGCACCTGTCAAAATCTGCTCATTTCTTTTACTGGCTAACCATTTATTTCATTATGCAACCTCCAGCAGCCCCCAATAGAAATAGCTTCACCGCTTCTCTGAGCTTCCTTGCTCCACACTTTTTTTCCCAGAGCACTGTCACTCTACCCTGTAGTAGTTGGTTGTTTAATCATCTGCCACCCAAAATAGATTGTGAGCACCTTAAAAGCAGCAACCATTTCTTTCTCATCTACATATCCCTCACTGGGCCGAGTGTCAGCAGTAGTGGGTGGTAAGTGTTACATGACTGGTCCAGCGATTCTGTGTAGGGGTATGTGGAGGGGTGGGTTAGAAGAGGTGGGACTTCTGCCAGTGGGAGTAGTCATTCAGACCAGTGCAGACACACAAGATAACCAAACAGCGTGTGAATGCTGTGACAGAAAGAGCTGCAAGAGGTAGGGTGGAGGGTCAATTAACATAGTGTAGGCATTAGTGTGGGCATCTTTCTTGAACTGAAATTTCTGGTTGTGTCATCATTCTATCTTTGTATCAGGGCCTAGCATGGTGCCAGGCACGTGGTAGGTATTCAGTAAGATTTTGATGAGTGAATGAATGTAATGTTTTCTAATTTGAGTCCAGATCTGCATCTTTGGGCGAGACTCAATACTTCAATCCAGATGTTGACTAAAGTCTGCTACAGTGGTTCATAACTGGAAACAGTTTTGCTCCCAGGGACATTTCACAATGACCAGGGACTTTTTTATTGTCACGACTGTGGGGGGAGGTGCTACTGGCTTCTAGTGGGTAGAGGCCGTGGATGAGGGTAAAATCCCAGTTTGCATAGAACAGTCCCCCCACATCAAAGACTCATCTGGGTCAAAATGTCAATATTGCTGCTGTTGAGAAAGCCTGAAATGAACCCAGAGTCTGCAGCCAGAAGGGTGGAAGGCTGTGTCTGATGCATGCCTGGTTCAAAATATCCTTGGTTCCTAAACTGGTGGCCTATGTAGGCGTCCACACTCAGACAAGTGGCTTAGCCTCCAGATCCTTCCAGAGCTGACCCTTAGGGCCCCAGCCAGCTTCCTATTCACTCCTCCCCTCCTACCCTCTGGGCCTTCCCAAAAAAAAAATGAAAAACAAAACAGGACACTTGAGGAAACTGTACTGGAAGATGCTACGGGCAAAAAAGCAGAAAACCCTGGGGAGTAGACTCAGTAAGTGGAACTTGTCTGTTCCAGGAGCTGCTCAGAGACCCTCTGTACATTGGCCTGAAACACCAGCGCGTGCGTGGGAAGGATTACGATGAACTGCTGGATGAGTTCATGAAGGCTGTAACAGACAAGTAAGTAGGTCAGTCTGTTCCTTTTAAAAGAGGACTATTAAAGAGATACCGAACCAAAAACGAAACCCGTTGCTGTCGGGTCAGTTCTAAAATCAACATTGTTTTGACAGATACACAAACAAGAGGCAGTAGATGCATGCTTTTCAGGGTGGTCTGAAAATTCAGACTTGACCCCGTGTACTTGGAAAACTCAAAGCCAAATGGACTCCTTCTCTGGGAGAATCTTTGGGAGTGGAGACCAGTTGATGGCTGAAGGCTCTGAAGTCTAGAGGTTAAGTATCTGGAAAACCTCCTTGAACTGAGCTGTTCTGGGTTCTCAGCATGAATAAGAATGTTGCGAGATGGTGGAGGGTAAGGGTGCCTTTCTGACAAAATGGCTTTGGAAGGCAGCTTGCCACATTGGTTGTCACTTTTTACCTCTAAGTGAGTACCAGGCAGTGTTAATGAGCCACCATAGCAGTCCACGCAGGGTCTGGGCCCGTAGGATTTATGAGGTGTCATCTCTGCACTTGGGGTATGCGAAATTGGCGGCCCCCTTCACCTGCCCCATCTGCCCATTATGGCCACCCCTCACCCTGCTGTAGCTGGCATGCTGCTGGGCTTCAAGCCAGTCTAGGAGTTTCAGCAGCTCAGCGGGCCTCTGTAGGCCAGACAGTTTCCCTTCTCACTTGAAAACCTCTAGTCACTCTTTCTGTCACGAGAGTGCTCTAGCAGGTTATGGCAGAGCTGGCCTGCCCATCGTTGACAAAGTACTCCCTTGCCAGAGCTCAACCACTTGAACCAGAGCAAACAAAAAACCTGTTGCTGTCGAGTCAATTCCAACTCATAGCGACCCTATATGACAGAGTAGAACTGCCCCATGGGGTTTCCAAGGAGTGGCTGGTGGATTTGAACTGCCAACCTTTTGGTTAGCAGCCAGGCTGTTTACCACTGTGCCACCAGGGCTCCTGAACCAGAGCAGTGGGCTGGAAAAAGAACTGCTCTGGTTACAGCAGCACGTGAAGTCTAATTTGTGTTGGCTTTTGGAGTGGGTAGACTGGGTTTGACTCCTAACTCCACTCTTTTCCAGGTCTGTGGCCTTGGGAAGGAGCCCTGGTGGCGCAGTGGTTAAGGCACTCGACTGCTAATCAAAAGGTTGGCGGTTCGAAACCACCAGTGGCTCCGTCGGAAAAAATATGGCAATCTGCTTTTGTAGAGATTTACAGGCTTGGAAACCCTATGGGGTCACTAAGAGTCGGAATCAACTCGACAGGAGTGAGTTTGGGTGACCTTGGGCAGGTTGCTGAACTTTTCTGAGTCTTGGTTTCCTTATCTGGGAATAAGAAGAGAGGGCTTTGTTATTGTTGAGTTTTTATTTTTGTTTTTAAGAAGAAAGAAAATAATATTGTGGTTGTATACTGATAGGACTGCTGCTGTAGAAAAGGGAAATTAATGATAGAGTAAGCAAGAGGAGCAAGGGTCTAGTGCACAGCTGGAGAGCTTAGTCTTAGATAGGTGCACAGAAGATCATCCACAGTGACAGGGAAGGCAGAATACTGGACAAAGATGCAGGCAGTGGGTAGATGTGGTGGTGGGAGCATATGGGAGTTCCCTTCTGATTGAAGATAGGTCATCAGCTGAGAGTGAAGATGGGGAAGGGATGATGGAGGTTCAGGGATAGAGGAAGTATGACCTCGTTATCTAGGAGAGTGAGAGAACCACTGGATTAGGGGACTACAGTATGATTGCTGGGCAGCTCTAAGGGCCCACTTGTGAAGATACTGGTCATAAATTTAAATTAGATCAGTTAACTTATTTCTGAGTTTTTCTGTAGCCAGGTTTTAGTGTCTGAATACAAGGAAAGAAGAAGCAGAGAATAGAATTTAATCAGAGTTGGGATTTTGCTGGGCGAGTACAACAAAGGAAAAAAGGAGTTGAGAGTACATTCCAGGGAGTGATTACAATGATGTGTCATGAAGTCTACACTGAGTAAGAAGGGAAATGAGGACATGGTGGAGGGGAGGGGTAAAAGACAGTGGAAAAGTGGTAAATTGATGGACAGTAACTCCTGGTGAGGTCTTAGCATTGTTGAGTTGGGTACTAGATGGAAGGAGCTGGAAAAAAAAAGAGGTGGTGATCAGAGAGTGAGGTGTTTGAAGCTGAGATTATGCAAGAAGTGCTGCTGTTAAGATGTGACCACCAAAGAAGCTAACTCAAGGGTCAGCTCTATTAATAGAAGTAAAAAAAAAAAAAACCCATTGCGGTGGAGTCGATTCCGACTCATAGAGAGCCTATAGGAGAGAACAGAACTACCCCAAATAGGGTTTCCAAGGAGTGCCTGGTGGATTCAAACTGCTGACCTTTTGGTTAGCAGCCATAGCTCTTAAGCACTATGCCACCAGGGTTAAGGAAGGTCTGTCCCACTTCATTCTTCCCCGTTTCAGACTGTCTTGAATGCTGCATTCAGTTCTGGACAAGATACTTTCAGCGTCATTAGTTACCTAAAGCACCTTTGGAGAACAGTAACCATGGTAGTGAAGGAAGTCAAAGCTTAGCCTAGTAGACAGAAAACTCAGACTCAGTATCAGGGACACAGCACTACCTCCAGATATCTGAAAGCCTTTCTTCCAGAAGAAGACTGGACTTGTTTTGTGTATCCACATAGAGAAGAACCAATTGGTGGAATGCCAGAGGAGGCTGTTTCAGCTCAAAATAAATCAGAGTTATCCCACTATGCACTGGACTTTCTGTGGGAGTGAGTTCCCTATACCAGAAAGAGTTCAAGAATAGGTTGCAAGACTTATTGGTAGTGTTTTATAAGAGGGAATTCGAGCATCAGAGGCTCTTTAAGATGCCTTCCCATCCCATCCCAATATTCTATCCTGACCTCATAAGACCCCTGTGTGGTTGGCAGGGTAGGATTATTATTTGCATTTTGTGGAAGAGGACACTGAGGCCCTGAGAGGTTAAGAGAACTGTCCCAGGTCACATAGTTTCTGGCAGGACTGTGACTTCAACCTGGGTCTGCTGATTTCAAGTCCAGACTGCTTCCTACAATGCTGAGTTACCTGTGGATGAAAAGAGAAGGGAATGACATTGGCATAGAGAGCCTTCTTTTTCCCCCGCTTCCTGTTTCCAAGGCTCATTGCTTATCTAATGAGTCAGTAGTTATTCCGTGATTCCCTGCAGAGAAGTCTTGCTATTCATGTGAGAAGGTTAAGTAAACGAGGATGTAAGAGGCTCTTCAAATTATCATCAAAATCAGTTCACAACTTCCAAAGACACACAGGCAGTCCAGAGGTGAACCCTCGGGGAAGGGTGTGTATCAGCCAAGAGGAATGTGTCCCTAAGTGGAAAAGATGATGTACTGACAGTTCATTGCTTTGACTTACAAATAAACTAAAGCAGATATTTCTTGTGGAAACTGTAGGTGGAGAATGAGCTGGTCTCCCAGGCACCTTTGGGAATATAGTAGCCCCAAGATAGAATGTCCAGGCCTGGGGGTGAGTCAGAGCCCTGAAGCCAAAGACAATGTATTTTAGGAAAGAACCTTGAGAAACTTTGACCCAGTCTTCAACATCCTTGTCTCTTTCCAAACATCCTGCTAATAAAATGCTCCACCTTCTTACCATTCCCAATGTTTCAGGGAGTGTCTTAAGATTTTGCGGGTCTGAAGAAAACTCACTGTGGGTTAGTCAGAAACCCTGGTGGTGTAGTGGTTAAGTGCTACCACTGCTAACCAAAAGGTCGGCAGTTTGAATCCACCAGGTGCTCCTTGGAAACTCTATGGGGCAATTCTGGTCTGTCCTATAGGGTTGCTATGAGTTGGAATCGACTCAACGGCAATGGGTTTGTTTTTTTTGGTTTATGGGTTAGTTACTGTCCTGGAGCTTGGCCACAGGGAAGACCAGCAAGGCAGAAGGAATCTCCATTTAAGTCTGTGAACCACAGCAATAGATAGCTGGTCTTGTCCTCCTCAAAGCTGAGGCAAAGACTCACATTCTGAGGGCCATTCTGATGTTACCGTGGCAGACTAGTCATTCCATTCTTCCTGCTGGTTCTTCCCCGTCCATTCAGTGGGACCAGAAGCTTGCACCTGAGCATCACATCCTGATATGACAGGTTTTCCCTGATGACTTCCACTTATACTTTTTTTACTTTTTTATTTCTGTTACTTACAGTAGCCCCACTGCCGTCGAGTCATTTCTGACTCATAGCGACTGTCATGGATTGAATTGTGTCCCCTAAAAATGTGTGTCAACTTGGCTAGGCCATGATTCCCAGTATGATGTGGTTGTCCACCATTTTGTGATCTGAAGTGATTTTCCTATGTATTGTAAATCCTACCTCTGTCATGTTAATGAGGCAGGATTAGAGGCAGTTATGCTTATGAGGCAGGACTCAGTCTACAGGATTAGGTTGTATCTTGAGTCAATCTCTTTTGAGATATAAAGGAGAGAATCGAGCAGAGAAGAGAGGGACCTCATGCCACCAAGAAAGAAGAGCCAGGAGAGAGCGCATCACTTGGACCTTGGGTCTCTGCACTGAGAAGCTCCTAGATCAGGGGAAGATTGATTACAAGGACCCTTCCTCAGAGCCTACAGATAGAGAAAGCCTTCCCCTGGAGCTGGTGCCCTGAATTCAGACTTCTAGCCTCCCAGACTGTGAGAGAATAAATTGCTCTTTGTTAAAGCCATCCATTTGTGGTGTTTCTGTTATAGCAGCACTAGGTAACTAAGACAGCGACCCTATAGGACAGAGTAGAACTGCCCCAGAGGGTTTCCGAGGCTATAAATCTTTACAGAAGCAGACTGCCACATCTTTCTCCTGCGGAGCAGCTCATGGGTTCAAGCCATCAACCTTTAAGTTAGCAGCCAAGCATTTAACCACTGCACCACCAGGGTTCCTTTACTTACAGTAGAATGGATGGAAATCATCTGTTTTAAATTTGTATTTGGAACCCCAGTATGTCTGATATTTGGCCTGGATGGGACAGAAGTTTGATGTCAGCAGCAGCTTCA